GTAGTCTGATAAAATGTAAGACATTATTTCATTTTTATATCCTGTAATCTACTTTGGAGAAAGTTCTGTGGGCTGCTGAGAAGTTTGCTTGTTCTGCATTACATCTATAGATGTCTATTAAGTCCATGTGTTCTGTAGTGTCATTTAACTCTGAAGTTTCTTTGCTTCTTTGTTTTGCTTTGTTTCGTTTTTTTTCTAGATGTCCTCTTTTTTGGTAAGAATGGGATATTGAAATAACGTACTGCTCTTGTGTTGAAGTCCATCTGTCCCTATGTCCAGTCATGTTTGTTTTATAAAATTGGTACACCGACATTCACTTGGTATATTCTTACAATCATTATATCCTCTTTTTTCTTTCCTTTTTCTTTTTTGCAGTATTGGGGTTTGAACTCAGGACCTCATGTTTGCTATGCAGGCACTCTACTGCTTGAGCCACTCACCCAGCCCTTGTTATATCCTCTTAATGGAGGAGTCTCCTTGTCAATAAAAAGTGACCTTCTTTGTCTCTTCTGGGTGATTTTAGCTTGAAGTCTGCTTTGTCAGATATAAGAATGGCTACTTCTGCTTTCTTTGGTGCTCCATTTGCTTGTATATCTTTTTCCATCCTTTCACTTTAAGCCTGTATTTGTCCTTGCCAGTGGTGTTTTTCTCATATGCAAAAATGATTGGGTCATGTTCTTTAATCTACTCCATCATTCTGTGTCTGTTGAGTACAGAATTCAGAGTACTAACATTCAGAGCTATTATTGAAAGTTATGTAGCTATTCCTGTCCTTTTTTTGTTTTTGTCCCTCATTTGCTTATCTACTCATCTAGTGAGATTTATTCTTTCCAGTATTCTCATGGTTGTATTTATCTTCCTCTTCTGTAAGATTCCTTTAAGTGATTTGCAGGTTTAGTTGTTATGAATTTCTTTAATTTGTGTTTATCATAGGAGGCTTTTATATTATGAATGATAGCTTTGCTGGATACAATAAGCTAGGTTGACAGTTATTTTCTTTCAGGACTTGAAATACATCATTCCATGCCCTCCTTGGTTTTGAATTTCTGTTGTGAAATCTGCTGTTACTCTGATGGGTCTTTTGAGAAGTGTCTTGGTGCTTCTCTTGCACCTTTCAATTTTCTTTCCCTGTTCTGTATAATTAATGTTTTAACTATAATATGACATGGAGAGGTTTCTCTCTGGTCTCGTCTGTTTGGTGTTCTAAAAGCCTCCTATATTTGGATGACCATCTCTTTCACAAGCTTATCTTGGACTTCTTCTCTTTCTATGCCCATTATTCATAGGTTTGGTCTTTTATTGGTAGTTAAAGGTCTTGTATGATCCATTCATACTGTCATTTTTTAAAAAAAATTGTTGATTGAATGTTGTAATTCATCTACCTTCATCTTTGATCCCTCATATTATGTCTTTAACTTGATCCAGTCTATTGGGAAGGCATTTCAATTTAGTTTTTTATTTGACTTACTGAGCTTTTCATTTTTAGAATTTTAATTTGACTTTTCCCTTGGATTTCTATCTCTTCTAAATCCCTCTTTATTATCCTGCCTTGTTTTCCTTATTTCATTTAGCTATTTATTTGTACTTTCTTTGAATTCATTCAGGTGTTTATTGAGTCCTTTAATTTTGTTGATCATTCTCAGTCATTTTTTTAAATTCTTTGTCTGAGATTCCATCCATTTCCCTACCACTAGAGTTCATTATTGTGCAATTGTTTACTTTTGGAGGAGTCATGTTGCCTTGTATTTTCATATTTCTTATGTTTCTGCATTAAGATTTATGCATCAGAGGCCAAGTTGTTGGTTAGAGGCTTACCTATATTCATTCAATTGAAGAATTTTCAGTGTTCAGGCAGGACTGGGTAGTGGCAAGGTTGTGGTACAAGTTCTCAGTAGTCAAACATTCACCCAGTGCTCAGGACACTGGGCCTCATTCGTCCCCAGAACCACTCAGAATAAAACTAGTTAGCATGTACAGGCTGGCGCTGTATGTGGGATGAGGGTAGGACCAATCAAAGTTTAGTTGTCCACCTCTGGAATGCTTTCACTATGGAAGCTTCCTTTCTTTGTGGACCAAGAGTTGCTGCTGTCAATGAAGAGTTTGCAACCTGTGGGTCAGGCAGTTTCCCATTTGATCCACAGGCCCCTCTATTTGTGCCCAAAGGGACAGCAAGTATACTAGCCTAGGGGCCCTAAATGCTTCAGTGAATAGGAGAATCAAACAAAGCACTGAGTTCTACACTGGAGGAGGAAAACCAAAGGAATCAAGTACTCTGCCTAACTTGCGGCTTTTAGACTCCAACCCTGTGGGCTGGAGGAGTCAGGATCCGTGCTCAGACCTCCCAGTCCTGTCTGTACCACCAGGAGGCAGTTCATGAAGACTGAGCAATCCACCAGCCTATGAGCTCCAAGTTCTGTTTCTGCAGTGGTCCTCAGGTGATGGGGCCTACTCCTTGCCACAAAGAGTGGAGCCACCAACCCATCATAGCCCAAGCTTCCTGCTGCTTAGACTTCTTAGGAGGTCCACATCAGGTCCTGCCGTTCTGTATAACCACTTCTCATGGCCACCTCCAGCCCAGGCCCTTGGGTAGGATGCTCCTAGGGTCCCTAGCCATGATTGCTCAATTGTTTCTTATTTTTCTGGTCCCCATAGTAGTTTAGTCACAAACAATAGGCCCCCCTCTCAAAATGGTGCCTGGCTATAGGCACCATCTCTTTGAGATATGGGGAGTGACATAATGTCTTCCTTCTCCAAAGCTGGTCTGCCATGCAGGAGGAGTCACTCCTTACTGGATTTGAGGCTTGTATGAAGTGGGAGCTTATTTTGTGGCTCTGTTGGCCAGTCTGTCACCAGGTTTGCTTGACTTACCTTGTAGTTGTGGCTTTGCCTTCCCATCCTCCCTGGGGAGCCACGATTGGAGCTGTAGACTGTGTCCTGCTCTTCTCAGTTACCTCTCTGTTTCTCCATGCTTTTCAGCAGTCCTGTCTCCTCCTTTATGATTCCAGATAATCTTCCTCTTTTTCTGTCTTTGGAATATGGTCTCTCCTTTGTTGCCCTGATAATTCTCATTCACAGTCATACAGAGGAAGCTACTAATCTACCATCTTGCCCCACTTCTAAGATTGTTGTTTTTAGCAAGTTGGTCTGTATCTTCTACACCAATAATATATCTTTAAAAGGACTTTGTTAGTGTTTATAAAAAGTTATATTTATGTGTGTGCATTTTCTCTGCATTTTGCTACTTTTTAAGAATATCCTAGCCAGGAGCTAGTCACTCGTGCCTGTGCTCGTAGCTTTGTCTAAGATTGGGAGGATAATCATTTGAGGCCAGCCCAGGCAACTAGTTCCTGAGACCCCCATCTCCAAAAATAACCCGAGCAAAGTGGACTGGATATGGGGCTCAGTCAATAGAGCATCTGCTTTGCAAGTGAGAAGCCCTGCGCTCAAACCCTGGTCCCATACAAAAAAAAAAAAAAAAAGAATGTACGCTTGAAGTTTTTCCATATCAGTAAATTATTGCTCATTATTACAATTAATCCTTTTTTTAAAATTAGAAACCATTGCTCTGTACCTGAGGAACTTATTTAATTAATTATGTTTAAGAAAAATGGTCAAGAATTTTTCTTTAAAATTGTAACCTGATTTTATCAGTGGTTGAATTCCAGTCTTTCACCTCTGAACTAGTGCTTGAGATCTGTTGGGCCACATTAGCAACAAATCACACAATAAATAGGACTAGCTCACTTACATCGGGAATGTGGCATTGAGGCAGAGCCCTGGTATTAAAGAAAGCCAAAATTAGATAGTCTTTCAAAATCCCTTGTTTATTATTATGAGAATTTTAAGAAAATTAGTTTTAAATCTTTTAAGTAAATTGAGAGGAAAAAACTATCACTTGAGTTTAGTTCTGGCTTTCACCTAGGTGCTTTCAGTGAATGTGTGTCTTAACTATGATGAAGATAAGTAGAGATATTCTAAGACAACCATTATAGAAAATACATAAATGTGTGCGTCTGTATATATAACACATTCTTACTATAAAACATAAGTAACCCCAAAAGTGAACATGCTTCCTAGAGTCAATCTTACCTGTGGTGCCCTGTTAATTACGTAGCCACTAAGCATATTTAAATTTGTTAATGAAATTAAAAATTTACTTCCTCAGTCACCCTAACCACATTATATATGCAACTCTACCGGATGGTGTACAAATCTTTTCCATCATCACAGAAAGTTCTGTTGGAAAGTAATGTTCCAGGGGAGTTCATTGTTACATATTTTGGCATATATTCTTTTATAATTTTTCCACACATAAGCTACTCCCTTATTGTTATTTCATAAACATAGGATCGTGCTATGTAGCTTTTTTCACATCTTTATGTGTATATGCATTTACACGTATATATTTGTACGAATACATTATAAATAGAATACCGCATTCTTTTATGAATTTCTTAGTGACTACATCCTATTTATTAAAGTGGCTCTCTGTATTGACAAACATTCTGTAAGGTAAAACCAGTATAGGTATTTTGGAAATTAACCATTCTGTTGTTTAATTGTATATATTTTGTTGAACTCTAATCCTTTTTCATATTACAAGCTGTGCATGTATACAGAAAGGGATAAAGCAATGTTCCTTAATGCTGAAGTGGAAATGTCTATCTAGTCTATCAAAAGCAGGGCGCCAGTGGCTCACTCTTATAATCCTAGCTACTCAGGAGGCAGAGATCCAGAAGGATCATGGTTCAAAGTCAGCCCAGGCAAATAGTTCTCAAGACTCTATCTCAAAAATACCCAAAACATAAAAGCCGGTAGAGTGGTTCAAGGTGTAGGCCCTGAGTTCAAGTTCCAGTACCACAAAAAAAAAAGTTGAAGTATCTTTGAAATGAATCTGAAGTGTAAGAATATTATTTTGAAAGTCTCTAGTCAAATATTTAAGTTAAATTGGTTAAAACATCATTAATTATTTTTATTTTTCATCTTCCCTCTTAATACAGGCCACAAATGCTCACACAAATGAGGTGGTGGCAGTTAAAAAAATGTCCTATAGTGGGAAGCAGACACATGAGGTAAGATTAGACAGTTGTGTGCCTAAATTAATATCATCCAGATATTATAAAGTTAACAAAATGATAAGTTCTGGTGTTCTACACCACACACAGTATGTGACTATAGTTAACAGTAGTGTAGTGTACATTCCAAAATAACTCAAAGAGAAGATTCTGAATGTTCTTACCACAGAGAAATAAGTGTTTGAGATGATGGACATGCTGAACAGTCTGATTGGATTATTACACAATTACACGTCTATCTACATGTATCTATGTTACACATATATTACACATATATCTACATGTTACATGAGGACATCACAGTGTGCCCCATAAATACATACAATTACTGTGTGTCAATGAAAAACAAAAGTTACAGAAAAGAAATTCACAAAATTCTTTAAACAGTTCTTTACCACAGTTCTTTTTTTTTTTTCTTGTGGAGCATATAAAAAAGTTCCTAGTATTCCAGATTAATCACCTATTTTCTAGAGCAGAAGGTGGACGGTGCAATGCTTTTACTATAATACTTGTGCTAGAGTTATAATTACATCCACTCAAATGAAATAATACAAGTGTTAATATGTTCTTCATTTTAAGCATTTACCATATGCCCATTTAAAGTAATAAAAAGGACATTGTAAATGTATGCTTGATAATAAAATACTATTTTCACTGCAACTTAAAACATTTCTTTTTGAGTTTAATAGAAATGGCAAGATATTCTTAAGGAAGTTAAGTTTTTGCGACAGTTGAAGCACCCTAATACCATTGAGTACAAAGGCTGTTACTTGAAGGAGCACACTGCTTGGGTAAGTCAACAATTCTCCATTATCTATTTTATTTTAAATGTTTTTCTATTTGAACTGTAAAATTATAAATTGCATTTATGTCCCAGTTGACTTTAGTTACCAGTATTTGAGATTTGTTTATATTTCCAAGTGTGTCCTATATTATACTTTAAATAAGATTAAATTATATAATGTCTAGCATATTGGAATTTTCATTTTATAAAGCACTCTACAGAGGCATCGTCTTGTGACTTACTTGTTTGTTTTTATTATGAATTATTTATTAAAGCAAAAGGCAAGACCTTTTGGAATTTTGGGGGAGGGTAGGGTGGTACCAGGATTTGAACTCAGGTCTTCCTGCTTGGTAGGCAGGTGCTCTATCACTTGAGCCGTACTGGTAGCCTGTTTGCTCTGATTCTTTTAGAGATAGTACCTATTTCTGTGTATACTAGGATTTTTCCAGTGCACAAATACCTAGCATAAAGTGTAAAATCTATAAATTAGGCATGGTAAGAGGTTAATAATAACCAACAGATAAAGTAAAGCAATTACAAATAACACTGCACTAAAATTGCCAGCTGAGTAGAATACAGATTAATTAAATATAAGCGCTGCAATTTTGAGCCAGGTGATCTGAGCAGTCACCAAGATGACTACGAAGTGACTGAGTGGCAGGTGGTATATACATAGTAGGTACTCTGGACAAAGGGATGATTCCCTTCTTGAGCAGAGCGGGACAGTGACAGAATTCAGCATGCTACTCCAAACAGGGTGTAATTTAAAAGTTAAGAGTTGCCTATTTGTGCAATTCTTCATTTAATATTTTTGGACCACAGTCAGCTGCAGGTAACTAAAGCAGCAGAAAATGAAGCCGTGGATAAAGCGGGGACTAGTATACTGTATCGCTAGGCTATGATGCTTAGTAAATTAGGTATATTAAAGGCATTTTAAACTTACGTTTTTCTCAACTTAGGATGGACTTATCAGGACATGACCCCATTGTAAGTCAAGGAGCATCTTTTGCAGGTTTCATATATTCAGTGTAAGGAAGTTATAAATCCATATTTAGTTATCCAATTTAAAAAGTTAGAAAACTATGTGATACAATTTTAAAAGGTTTCCACAAAGTTGATTAAAGAAAAAAACTTAAAGCATTTGTAAAATCTTCCATTTCAATAAGAATTAAAGAAAAATAAGAGACAAGAAATAAAAAATAAAATAAGAATTTCTGAGTCTGTTTTTTATACCATGCAGAAAACAATTATGAAGTGTCTAAACTTTTTTTTTTTTCCAGTGGTACTGGGGTTTGAACCCAGGCCTCACGCTTGCTCTGCAGCTGCTCTACCTCGTGCACCTCTCCACCAGCCCTAAAGTGTTGAAGTTCATTTAATATTCTAAGCTAATCCAGTAATGAATATTTATATTAATTGTTCAAGTAAAGGCACTGGCATATTGGTTTTGGTTATGCTTAGTCAATTACAGGAATTTTATACTTTATTATGAGCACTGGTTTTCAGAGTAACAAAATAATATGTTTGTGTGGTTTTGACTTTAGCTACAAATCAATAGTCTGGGATACACAGGATCTGAGGTGAGAGTTAAGAAAATGTTTCAGCATTTTTGATTCATGAAAGCCTCCCAATATTGCCAAACCAAGAATTATCAGTGGTGTTTTAGTAATATTATTATATAAGTATTTTAAAGATATACATTAAAATATTTCCTACACTCGGGGATTCAAGATAATGACACAAAGCAAGCTACATGTTTACAATGAGTTCTCAGGCTGGCAGGGTGGCTGAAGAGGTAAGAGTGCCTGCCCAGTAAGCATAAGGTGCTGAGTTCAAACCACAGTGCCTCCAAAAAAATAAATAAAACATAGAATGTGTTCTGTACTAGATGTGTTTCATGTTTTGAGCTTTCAAAATGTGAAAATAAAGATTTACTGCTTGCTGGGTTTTTTTGTTTATCTGTCTGTTTTTTTGGGTGGGGAGGAGGATTGGTTTAGTTTTGGTTCTGGCAATTTTAACCCTGGGCCCTCACATGTGACTTATCTTATTTAACTAATAGTTCTCAACACAGATTTTACTGGTTTGTGTATTTTTTGGATACTGCCTAAGTTATGCATTTTAATTTATAATGCAATCCAACTGCTTGAAACCTTTTTTAAAACAAGGCTGTATGGAAAGTGGTAAATAAATAAATTGACTATCTCCACTTGGCCATTTACAGTGTACTTTCATATCCTGCATCCTGGCCCCCCTGACTGGATATGGTGAATTCCAGTTGGATATAACAAAAATGAAGATGTTGACAATTAGGAAAATCAGTTAGTGTCAGATGACCAGAACAGTACAGGTTTGGTTTGTCATAACCTTCATTCTAGCACTCTCAGTTCCTCGGGAAGCTTCTTATTAACCTTTATTGTTCTGATTATTTTTTAATATGTTACAGTTGGTGATGGAATACTGCTTAGGCTCAGCCTCTGACTTGTTAGAAGGTAAGAGTAAGACCCTGAGCCCTCATTTCTGCTTTACCTCAGTCAGGATGTCATCTATTCCTGTTTTGAGGGCAGTGTGCACAGTGTACTTGAATGGTGATGGGGTGGGCAGGGTGATAGGGATAAGCCATGCAAACACCTCTGCAGAGTCACTCGAGGATCTGGGTGATGTTCGGTCCTTTTCTGCTGTTCATGGCCCATCCAGGGCAGGTACTGCTAAAATGTTTGGTTAATATGATGTAGTATGTATAGCCAAAAACATCAAGTTCATTTGTGTGGATGAGTGAAAGGTAGGTATTGTCAACCAGAGGCTGTATTAAAAATGTACACTAAAAATGTCTTAAATCATCCTTAATTTCTGAATAGAAGTCATTTATTAGCTTTTACAAATAATGAAAACTTACAGTTAGAGGGGGTAATGATGGCTTTGTGGCAGAGGAGGACATTGTGACCTCGAACCCTCCAGGCACTTAAAAATGTTAGAGGAGACTGATGACATTTGTGTTTGGCCAGTTGGAATCATCATGGCATTGATTTGCCACTGACAGTAAATGAACAATGCACTACTTCATGAATACCAGGCTTTCATTGTTGCTGTTATTTTGTTTGGAAGGGTAGATTTGTTTTGTTTTTATTTATTTGTTTTTCCTCTTATCCAATCATTTATTGCTATTCTATAAGAAAGAAATACCTTGTGTATTTAGGTGAATATGTTTGCAAATTGTCATTTGATAGTGTATGACTTTGTGCTATAGTAAGTAATGAAAGTGACCATAGTTCCTGGTCTTCCCTGCCTCTTTCCTCAGTTCATAAAAAGCCACTTCAGGAAGTGGAGATTGCTGCCATTACTCATGGTGCCTTGCAGGGACTCGCCTACCTACATTCTCATGAGTTGATTCACAGGTAAGATGAGAGACCAGTTTCATTTTCACCTCCTTTACAGGACTTTCTATTTCAGGAACGTTGAAAATTAGTGCATGCTTTAATTTGGCCGGGGTAAGGGGGGAGGGCTAAGGACTTGTAAGAAGTAAACAGATTACTATTGCTCCTGGATGTAAGGAGTAATGTTGCCAGAATTTATCTCCCATCTCCTGGCCCTTACATTCACAAAGACTTACATCACCTTTCTTCTGTAGGTAACCAATCTCTAGGGTGTGTGGTACAGGAAAATTCCAAGAAGGTCCTAGTGACTTCTTGATACTGTCAAGAAGAGCTGGCAGAGTGGGTCAAGTGGGAAGAGCTCCTGCCTAGCAAGCGTGAGGCCCTGAGTTCAAACCCCAGTACCACACACATATATACACACACACAAATGTCAAGAAGAAAAGAGAAGAGAATTAACTTCCTTGCATGTATTTATTTCATAGCTGAGTTTCTTCTCCTATTGAAAATAACTGGTTTATCTTCTACAAGTACTGTTTTATGACTTTAAGACATTTTGCATTCCTAAAATCCATGCAGATACGTACTTAAGACGTACTGCCTTAAAATGTGGCTGGTGATGAGACTAAAACTCAGAAAGATGTAAGTAACTTGCCTATGATTTTAAGCATTTAAGCAATAGAGTTAGGACTGAAGTTAGGACTGAAATTCAAACTTCTCACTCTTAATCCAGTCATCGAGGGCTTTCTTTTGCCTTAAATTTTCTTTTCTTTCTTTTATCCCCATCTTGGTGCTGGTGATTGAATCCACGGCCTCACATAGGCTAGCCAAGTGCTCTACCACAGAACTACATCCCTACCCGCTACCATATATTTTCTGTCACATAACCCCACTCTCCACCCTCCAACCAACTTCCCTTCACTAACTTCTCCTGAAGAAAGCCATGGTTAACAATCTTCCCTTCTCTTAGTAAAGAGCTTCTAGCAGTCACCCTAGCGAATGGTAGAAGATGTAGAATATCAGATGCATGTGAGGACCTGAGATGGCTCACAAACATTTGGCATTAACTGGGCGGAAGTGAAACCATTAGGTCATAGTTCCCACTTTTACTTCTGTTCCAGTCACCCCAGAGCTGCCTCACTAGTTACTAGTGCCACAAAAACAGAACTTCCTTAAGACAGGCGCACAAATCCTGCCAGGAATCTGGCTTGTTTATAAAGATGAAGAATGGTTGGACTGGGGTGGAGCTCAGTGGCAGGACCCTGGCCTAGCATGTGTGAAACCCTGGGTTCAATCGCCAACATCACACAACAAATTACATTACATTCAAATAATCCTAATTGTATCTAGTAAATAATATTGATTAAATATATTTATCATCATATCTATGGATCCAGCAATTTTTTTTCCAATGTGTTTCTTGGAACCAACATTTTATTACTGAATGCCAACTCACTTATGATAATTTTGCCTGCTTTTATTTTAAGCCACAGTTCAGTTTTTTGTGTGTCTTTATTATCTTAATCTGCACATTAGCTTACTATTTTATTATGTATAACACATTATCATCTTTAGTTTGTAGAAGTTGAAAAGAAAAAAATGAGTGTTCTTTAGTTTTGAAAATGAATGCTGTGTCTCAGATTTTTTATTATTTTGGTTTAAGAGGCAGTTTAGTCTTCTAATAGAAAATAAGAGAAAAGATACTTTTCTGCTGCAAAGAGCAAACAATAATGCCTTTTTTGTTTTTCTTTCTCTCTGTTAATGCCTAATGTCATCACAAGGAAAGAAACTGCATTTTCAAGGGAAGTTTTTGTAAAAGTTGTTTGGGAAGCACTTGAACCTGATCATTTTCTACTTGACATAGTTTTCCTCATCTTCTCCAATTTATCTTTCCATGGCCCATCAACTTGGTTCCTATACTCATCATACCTCCTGTCTTTTTAAAAAGGAGTCAGGAGAACATTCCATCTTCTCATTCTAAATGATCATACTGACCAATGAATTTTCAAATCACATTTTAAAAACTTTTTGCCGCATAGAACATCAAATATTTGTAGTGGTAACCGCTTTCAATTCATTGTAGCAGTACAATAAAAATGCAATTTCCTAACTCCTAATCCTTGTTTGTTTTGATCTTTCAGGGTCCTCTTTTTACTGTAACGTGTTATTTTTAAAATAACCTCCTCTCTATAACGTGTAACCTCAAATGCCTTAGAGATGCAGTTACAATTAAAGGCAGAGAGAAAGGGTCACAGGCAAGAAAGAAAAGGTATGTGTGTAGTTGAGATTATTGGATAGGTAGTCAACACAGGTGTGTGTAGACTCCAAAAATGTCACATGATTTGGAAGAGGAAAAAACAAAAGGCAGTTACAAATGGCACCAATTTCCCCCGCACAAGGAATACTTTGGTGACTGGATTTAGCATTTAAGAACATACTTTTAAAAGGATAGCAGCAAGCTGCTTTCCTCATCTGCTATGTCTGCCTTCTTTCTCATTCTTTTCCCTCCCTCTGAAGAAAGATCTACCTGTAGATAATTGTGACATCCCACCTGTAAGTATACCCAGGAATCTGGGACCCTTATATTATGCAGTAATTACTAAATTCCCTTCTGGCCATCTGAGCAAACTTTTTTAAATAAACTTTTTATCTTATTAATTGCATGTTCTGACCTATTCCATAGTCAAAGTAGAAAAGTAATTTTCTAACCCTCTTAATTTTTCCTATAGGGATATTAAAGCAGGAAATATTCTCCTAACAGAGCCAGGCCAGGTGAAGCTAGCTGATTTTGGATCTGCCTCCATGGCTTCTCCTGCCAACTCCTTCGTGGGCACACCTTACTGGTACGTGCAAAGGGAAAATACGGTATAGCTCTGATACATATACATGAGCATGAAGACAAGATGGCCCCTGAAATGGTTTTGTTTTGTTTTGTTTTTCGTGGCACTGGGGGTTGAACTCAGAGCCTCATGCCTGCTAGGCAGACACTCTATCATGGTTTTGGTGTTTCGCAGTGTGTTACCAATGAGATTACATTTGAGAAAGAAAACTCACAAGCAAACAAAGAAACACTCTTAGGATAAAACTTAGAATGACTTTAAATTGTTCAAATGAAGTTGATGTCACTGTGTATAAACTGAGTAAGATTATCAACTCACTGAACTCAGGTTTTATATTTCATTTGAGGTTTCTTTTGAACTTTTCTCTTGGGGCAGTCTCAGGTAAGGACAACTTTCGCTGGCTAGCCAACAAGTGGAAGTGTTACCTTCCAATGAAAGAAATCCAAGTTCTTGTCTTTGTGGAATTCTCTGGTATTTCATCTCACTTGTCATTCTGACTTACAGTCGTTCCCCCAATTCTATTCCAGATTTCTTTCCTGCCTTTCACAGATACCTTGGAATTTCATTACATCTATCTCTGAGAATGACTTATATTCTGGAAAATTCACTACACACTGAGAAAAATTCAGCTGCTTCATGCAATAGCATTTGCCAAACACTGCTTATACACAGTAATAGAATATGGTTCTGTCCAAAGACATTAAACTGATGTGGCCCCTGTCCTCCTAACCACTGTGCATTATGAACAAACAAACCAAGTGGCACCCATTACCATAAACTGTTTTATTTTGTTTTGTAAATTGCAGTATTTTTGGAATAACTGATAACATTGGTTCATATTGCTCTGAAGAATATTTTTCACGTGGTTTCATTATTTGCATTTCATATATGTTAGTCCTTTACCAGTCTCAATGAGGTCACTACTCAAATTCTCTCCATTTTATAGATGAAGAAACTGATAGGCAGATGATTTAAGTAATTTACCCAAGATCAAACTGATGGATTTATTGAAAATAATATATTATTTCATGTAAATCATTAAGTATATTTACATTTTGAATAATGTTTTTCAAAACAGCTTATAAGGAAATAGCTCTATCAAATAAAAGGATTTTTGTTTGGTTTTTGGTGGGACTGGGGGTTGAACTCAGGGCTTCATGCTTGCAAAACAGGTGTTTTACTACTTGAGCCACACCTCCAGTCCATTTTCCTCTGATTATTTTGGAGATGGGATTTTGAGAACTATTTGTCAGGGCGGGCCTTGAACCAAGATCCTCCTGATCTCAAGTAGCTAAGATTACATTCGTGAGCCACCAGTATCCGGCAGATAAAAATTTTAAGTATCCTTAAGAGCAGCTATTTTGTTGAATCACTGTATAAAGGGAAGCTTGTTTTTGATTTTTCAACTCAAGTTCTGCTCGTTATGTTTGGTAGGATGGCTCCAGAGGTGATCTTGGCGATGGATGAAGGACAGTATGATGGGAAGGTTGACATTTGGTCCCTCGGGATCACCTGTATTGAGCTGGGTGAGTAAAGGACCATGTGCATCATGTCTTTGAGCATATCCTTACTGTGCTTGACAGTTACCTAATGCAGCTGCTGTTTAGTGACTGGCTGCCGCATGTGTGCCAAGGTATGTGAAAGGATTATAGATACTTTCTGTGCCCTGGACTAACACTGACGATTGCTTTCTCTGTTACACGTTTTCACATTGATTTAATTAAAGGAGCTCGAGCAGTTGCACAGTTCGCAAGTTATTAATTTCTTATATTTTTAAAATATCCATTCTCCATATTGTGAGTGATAATACATGCCCTAGGTTCACTGTGGTGTCCATTACTTTAATCTATACTTCAACTTGTGCTGGGAAAACTGAACAAGTAAGAGAAGGTTTATCAAGATCTGACTGTGGGGCTGCATTTGACCTCCATCAAGTACAACCTAGGAGAAAATGTGTTAGAAGATCCACTACCCTGAAGTTCTTCCCCACATAGTGCTCCTGAAATCGCCTAAAAGACCATAGTGTCTGTTCTCTGGTTGCACTTTTTGAACTTTAGTGTATCTTAAGATTACCTCTATCCTGTGGTAAATTTTAATGTAAGTGGCAATCTTTAATATATTTTTTTGGCAGTACTGGGATTTGAATTCAAGGCACTGAGCTTGTTAGGCAAGCTTTTTACCATTTGAGCCACATCTCCATTCCTTTTGTTTTTAGTTTCTTTTTTTCAGATAGGGTCTCAAACTGTGAGCCTCCTGTCTCTGCTTTCCATGTAGCTGGGATTACAAGCACATACCACCAGGTCTGACTTGTTTTTTGAGATTTGGCCTCATCAACTTTTTACCCAGGCAGTCCTGGAACCATAATCCTCCCAATATCTGCCTCCTGAGTAGCAGGAATTACAGGCACGCACCACCACACGCTGCTAACTCCACTGTAAATGTTACTTCTGTCCACTAGTAAATTTAGCAAACAAATCTCTTAGTGGTGGGAGGGACCTCTCATTGGTAGTATTTGCCTGTTTCTGTGATGTAAACTCTCCCACTACAGCCAGTATCGAACTACCTGTGCTGTTCACCACCTTTGGACTTGCGGAAAGATCTAAGATATTAAACACACTTGTCCTACAAAGGAGACGAGGGCCATGTGATCCCGCACTTCCCATGCTTCAGGCCTTTTCCAGCAAAGAAACATGATGTGCATGTGCAGTTCATCTGTCTCGTTTTGGCTTTTTAGCATTAAAGAGATGTTAGTGAAGATGGCATTCTAGGAGGAAAATTAGAATGCTTACCTTTTTTTCCAGTCAGGTAACAGAGTCACATCATTTATAAATTTATAATATTATTAAGGCAGGTATGGTGGTGCACACCGGAAGTACGAGCGGTTGGGAGGCTGGGGCAGGAGGATCACCTGAGTCCAGAAGGTGGAGACAAGCCTGGGTAACATGATGAGGTCCTGTCTCAGAAAGAAAGAAGAAAGGAAGGGAGGGAGGGAGGGAGAGAGGGAAAGAAAGAAAAAAAAAAGATAGCAAGGGGAAGGAGGTGGGGATGGAATTAAATATACATATATACATATATATATATATATATATATGGCCGGGTGTGTAGTAACACATGTCTGTTATCCCAGCTACTCGAAAGGCAGAGACAAGAGGATCAAGGTTCAAAGCCAGTCCAGGCAAAAGGGCTAAGGGTGTAGCTCAAGTGGTAGAGCACTTACCTAGCAAGCATGAGGCCCGAGTTCAAATCCCCACACCGCCAAATCAGTATGTGTGTGTCTATGTCTATATGTGCATAATAAAGACATGTTTAAAAGTTCTTCCACCCCTTGCCCTGTCCACTCAGCTCCTACTCCATCCTGTCGACATTCATGGGAACCTCTATTACTAATTTCTTTATGAATGTAAGAAACAAATATGAGTGTACTCTGTTTCTTTTTTAATGGTAAGGATTGAACCCTGGTTCTCACATGTGTTCCACTACTCAGGTACAGCCCAGCCCAGCAGATACTTCTTATTTTCATTTTCATACCCTAGTTCACAAGTACATAAGGCTCTATACTTTGATTTTTCACTTTCCAGTGTCTGGGAGGTCCAGCTTATATTATTTACACATATTATTTACACATCTTTTTCAGTGTCTTAATAGTACCATGTCATATCACTGTGCATATACAGTCGTTTAACTGGTCCTGTTGTGACAGAGGTAGTGGTGATAGATTTCTCTTTTGAGTTTAATATTGTGCTGGTCTCTTTTTCACTGCAAAGAAATACTGATTTTGGGTGACACTCAGCAGAAGTATTTAATAATACAGTAATCCTCTGTAGAACTTGACTAGGTGATTCTAAAATTCAGTTTGGCCCAAACAATTGTAAGGAAATTGAATTTGGAAAACAGAATCCCTGTACTGAAATCCACATTATAAAACTGACATTAGCATGGTGCTGGTCTCAGGAAAGACCAGTATCCAACAGAGCAGAAATAAACCAGACACTGACTCAGAGATGAGTCAGGTTTTAGTAAAAGGCAGAAAAGCCATTGCTCACCAGTAGGGGAAAGGTAGCACATTTGATAAATTAACATGACTTGTTAATTCATATGATAAAAATTAGAATTAAAAGATATAATGAAAAGTAGATTCCTAAATATACCATATACAAATTCAAAATCGGTTATAAAAATAAGCAGAAAAACTTCAAAACATTTTGGAAAGGCTCCCTTAGCCTCAGTTTCCTCACCTGTGAAACAGAGATGATAATAATGCCTTCTGCATCCTGAAAGCAGATGCTCGACGGTACAGAAAGCACTAAGATGGACTGGCATAGAGTGTGTTGTGTAAGTATTGTTATTCTACGTTACCTATGTAAGCATAGGGAAGAATTTTTCTAAGTAATATTTTAGAAACATAATGATAGATATGATAAGCCTTACCACTTAAAATATAAAACCATGTAAAAATACAATAATTGAAACACAAGCCACAGTCTGTAGGAAGATACTTGAAACATATCTAACCAACAGAGTATTGGTTCAGAATTTATAAAGAACTCTTATAGTTTATGAAAAAGGAAAGGCTAGCTAGACGTGGTGGTTCCCTCATGTAATCCCAGCTACTTGGGAGGCTGAGATGGACAGGATTGCAGTTTGAGCCCAGGCCAGGCAAAAAAAGTTAATGAGACCCCCATCTCAACAAATAATCCTTGCATGGTGGCACACACCTATCATCCCAGCTATTCCAGAATAAGATTGTAGTCCAAAGCCAACCCTAGCCAAAAGTTCAAGGCCCTATCTAAAGTAACTAAAGCAAAAAGGGCTGGGGTCATGGCTCAGGGGGCAAAGCACCTGCCTAGCAAGGGTGAGGCCCTGAATTCAAACACCAAACCAAAGAGCCGCTAGAAAAGTGGGTGAAGAATCTGATCAAGCAACTTGTTCAAGAGGATACCTAAGTGAACACATGGAGGTACTCGGCCTCATCAGTGATCTGGAGAGTTAATGTTAAAACCCGTTGTATGTCTGCAGGTTAGCACATGTCTTAAATCTGGGTTAATAGATCTGGAGAGGCTGTTAACATAACAGGCACTCATCTGCCATTGGTAGAAGCGTAGGCTGACAAAAACCTTTGGTACAGACACCACAGCTACCACAGTGGCTGGAGAAGGGTCTCAATGACCAGCCTTTCACTTCCAGTAGTAGACCTTAGAGAGAAATCTCCTCCCATGTACAAAGGAATGGATGGCAAGGCTGCAGTCTTATTTGTAGTGGCCAGAAAAGATGGAAATACTCTGAATCCTTAACCAGTGGAGAATGGATAAATAAGTTATGGCAGATGCATCACACATAAGAATGTACAGGATTATGCATATCATCATGGATAAATCTCAGAATCATAGCTTACAATGTTTAATTAACAAAGAAAACTGAAGGCCAGGCACGGTGGTTCACATCTCTAATACCTGCTACTTGGGAGGATTGCAGTTGCAGGCCAGCTTGGGCAAAAAGCCAGCAAGACCTCATCTCAACCTATAAGGTAGGCAAGAAACACAAGACCGTATCCCAAAAATAATGAAAGCAAAATGGGCTGGGGCATGGGTCAAGTTAGTAAAGCACCTTTCTGGCCAGTGTAAGACCAAGTTTAACCCCCACTATCATCAGAAAGAAAGAAAAAGTTATAAAAACACAGGTACACTATGTTGCCAGTTATAAAAGTTTTTTAGCAAGAGTAAGGCTCTGAGTTAAAGCCCCACCATCACAAAAAAAAAGAAAGAAAAAAGTTTTTGTTCATTTGTTTTTTGTGGTACTAGGGTTTGAACTCAGGGTCTTGTACTTGTTAGGCAGGTGCTCTTCCCTTGAGCCGTGCCCCTAGGCCCAATTATGGAACTTTTATGAACACTTTTTGTTTTTTTTTTTTTCATTTTTCTTTTATTATTCATACGTGCATACAAGGCTTGGTTCATTTCTCCCCCCCTGCCCCCACCCCCTCCCTTACCACCCACTCTGCCCCCTCCCGCTCCCCCCCATCAATACCCAGCAGAAACTATTTTGCCCTTATTTTCTAATTTTGTTGTAGAGAGAGTATAAGCAATAATAGGAAGGAACAAGGGTTTTTGCTGGTTGAGATAAGGATAGCTATACAGGGCATTGACTCACATTGATTTCCTGTGCGTGGGTGTTACCTTCTAGGTTAATTCTTTTTGATCTAACCTTTTCTCTAGTTCCTGTTCCCCTTTTCCTATTGGCCTCAGTTGCTTTAAGGTATCTGCTTTAGTTTCTCTGCGTTAAGGGCAACAAATGCTAGCTAGTTTTTTAGGTGTCTTACCTATCCTCACCCCTCCCTTGTGTGCTCTCGCTTTTATCATGTGCTCATAGTCCAATCCCCTTGTTGTGTTTGCCCTTGATCTAATGTCCACATATGAGGGAGAACATACGATTTTTGGTCTTTTGAGCCAGGCTAACCTCACTCAGAATGATGTTCTCCAATTCCATCCATTTACCAGCGAATGATAACATTTTTCTTCTTCATGGCTGCATA